GGCGGTGCGGCTGTTCCTGGCACTGCAGGCGCTGGAGGGGGCGCGGCGCCCAGGGCCCTTGATGCAGGGTGTGCTCCAAACCTGCCGGGACCTGCCCGCACTCCGCGACGAACTCTTCCTGCAGCTGGCTAAGCAGACCTCGGGCCCCGCGGGGCCCCCTGGGCTCCCAGCTACCCAAGACCCTGCCGCCCTGCGGTATTGGCAGCTCCTCACCTGTATGAGCTGCACTTTCCGGCCTGGGAGAGCTGTACGGGGGCATCTCCTGGGGCATTTGGAAAGGTGAGAGGGGAGCAGCGGGCTAAGGCCAAGGCAAGGGAGCTACAGGGCTGCGAGGGAGGGACAGGCCTCTGCAAAAAGTTTGGAAGGTGAAGAAGCCAGATCCAGAGAAGGGAAGGTACTTGGCCAAGGTCAGGGCTGCTGGTACTATGTACAGTGCCTTTGTGGGACATACAAGATCATATCCCACTTGTAAGCAGATAAATTACAATAACCGCCCCCCCCTTCGGGCAGAGGAATAATTAAAAGGCTACTTTTGCCCAGGCTGATGTAGGCCAGCGCCAGGGCTTAGGAAAGCATAGTAAAGTGGCTGGGTTTCGGACTTTAGCCTGAAGGACGATCTGGGAGGCTTTTGGAAGGGGACTGGGGCGGTTGGGAGAGAGCTTCCAGGGGATTTAAAAAGTGATTCAGCTCCATACCAAGTACAGGGGAAAGATTTTAGAAGAGTCGTCAAGGAACTTGAGTTGGGGGCTGGGGGAGGAAACCCAGGAGGTAAACCCATAATAGAAGACGAGAGAGGGAGAGAGAAAGAAAGCTCCTGGAGCACTGAGATCCCAGGGTTCCTCCTAACTCAGGACGGAGCAGGCACTCCCGGACTCAGAACTGGCGGAATATGCGCGCTTCATCCGGAAAGCTCTGGGCCGGACGCGCGGCCGAGAGCTGGTGCCCTCGCTGGCAGAGATTTCTGCACTGAGCCGACGACAGGAGCTGTTGTGCACCGTGCACTGTCCGGGGGCTGGTGCCTGCCCCGTGGCCATCGACTCCCACACCACAGCCGGGGAGGTGAGGCCACAGAAAGGCCCCCCGGCACTCCCAACCCCCTCGCTCCCAGCTTCTCATGCCTGGCTTTCCCGGTTCCTGGGCCCTCGGTTTGCCCGGAGTCTCACATTATTTCGGCAAAGGAGGGAGTGGTGGTGACAGGACTGAGACCCCTTCCCCGTGGATCAGCCCCTCCCAGAATCCTGCCAATACCTCCGGGTGGTCTGACTTTCCCCTCTCCCTCCCCGCCTTCTAGGTGGCTCGAGAGCTGGTGGGACGGCTGGGCTTGGCCCGGAGCCGCAATGCTTTCGCACTGTACGAGCAGCGAGGGGCCCAGGAGCGAGCCCTGGCTGGGGGTACCCTCGTGGCTGACGTGCTCACCAGGTTTGAGAAGTAAATGTCCAGCCCCAGCCCTGCTCTCTGTTAACTCACCTACATTTCAGCTTCGGTCAATCACTAAGAAACATTTACCGAGCGCTTGCCACTTGGCGTGTGCAGCGATGTTCTCTGGTTTACACTTGGATCCCTGCCCGCGGGCGGTTTGCAGTCTGCATTCTGGGGTCACCTACGCGGTCCATTCCGCCCGGGCCCCGCCCCAAACACAGGGCCCCGCCCCTATCCCAAACTGCTGGCTCCCAGGTGGTCCTGCTTCTTCGCGACGCACTCTTTTCTCTTCTGCAGTTTGGCTGGGGAGGAAGCCGGGCTGGAGGACTCCCCGGACTCTGGGTGGAGACTCTGTCTGCGTCTTCACGGACCTCTGCACCCTGAGGGGCTGTCCCCAGAAGGTCACGAACTGCCTTTCCTCTTTGAGCAGGTGAGGACCTCCAGTGTTCACGCCTCCAAACAGACCCCCCAAGTCTGAACCCTTCCTTTCCCGGGCCATCTCATTTAATCATTAGGTAACCCTGACGGAGGCTTTACTCAAATCTAGAGACCTCCTCACTGTCCATACCCCGCGGTGTTTTCGCGACGGCACAGCCGCGCCTCGCGCACTGACACCCGGTGCCTCCCCTGTAGGCTCACGCTCTGCTGCTGCGGGGCCGGCCGCCCCCGCCCGACGACACGCTGCGCGCCCTGGCGGCGCTGCGCCTGCAGAGCCTGCACCGCGACTTCTCCCCGCGGGTGCCCCTGCCCCGCCTGGACCGCTTGCTGCCGCCCCCCACCCCGCCCCGCGAAGACCCGCCCCGCCCGGCCCCCAGGCCGCCCGGCTCCGCCGCCCTGCTGGCCGGGGCACTCTGGAGCCCTGGCCTGGCCAAGAGGCGGGCGGAGCCGGCCCGGCGCGGCGGGGCCAGCCGCACGGCGGGAAGCACGGCTCGCGAGGGAGGAGGCGGCGCCGGCACAGCGGCTGCTGTGCTGGGCGGCTGGAAACGGCTACGGGGCATGGGCCGAGCTGAGGCCATGGCTGCCTACCTGGCCCTGGCAGCGCAGTGTCCGGGGTTCGGCGCTGCTCGGTATGACGTTCTGGAGCTGAGCACGGTGAGGGGGAGAAGGGAGAAGGGGACTCTGGTGGCCCAAGACCCAAACTTTTGCCCCAGAGCCACAGTCCCCCACTGTGAGTCACTTCATTCCCTACATCCAGAACAGCCGCCCATCTCAAACCCCAGGAGTCACCAGTCCTTGGGCCTTCACATCCCTGGAGCCATAGCCACCTCCACAGTCCTGTGACTCATAGAGGGGGGGGTCAGGAAACTCCCTGCTCGCAGCCATCTCCCCCTACCAAAAGTCATGCAGCAGGGTCTCCTCCTTCCACCCTGACTCTGCCTATCTCTCTGCAGGAGCCTGGCGGGGGTGCTCCTCAGAAGCTATGCCTGGGCCTGGGAGCCAAGGCCATGTCCCTCTCCCGGCCGGGTGAGACAGAGCCCATCCACAGTGTCAGCTATGGACACGTGGCCGCCTGCCAGCTAATGGGCCCCCACACCCTGGCACTGAGGGTGGGAGAGAGCCAGCTCCTCCTGCAGAGTCCCCAGGTGAGTGGGAAGAGGGGTTGTGGAAGGAGGAGGGAAGGGATGACATGAAACATTTGTAGCACACCAAGCATAGGCCAGGTACTGGGAATCCAGCAGTGATCAAAGACAAGCTCAAAGAGCTTACATTAGAGTGGGGGAGTCAGACAATAAACAAGGAATCAAAGGCTACAAAGGAAAGTGACAGGAAGTGACTGGAGGGGCCACAGCATTAGGTAGTCAGGGAAGGAGTCTCAAAGAGGGTGAAATTAAAAGTAGCCATAGGAAGATCTGGGAGAACAGCAATTCCAGGTAGAGGGAATTGCAAGGCAAAGACCCTGAGATAAGAGTGAACTTCGCATGTTAGAAGAGCAGAAAGAAGCAAATATGACTGGCACATAGGGAGTGAGGAAGAGAGTGATGATGAGGAAGGAAGGGTTGCAGGGGCCAGAGCACCTAGGACTCTGGTGAGGAAGTTGGAGCCCTAGAGCCGGAATGGAGGATGAGAAAAAGAGAACCCAATGGCCCATGTTGCACACTGACCTCTGCCCTCTCTTAGGTGGAAGAGATCATGCAGCTGGTGAATGCCTACTTGGCCAACCCCTCCCCCGAGAGGCCCTGCAGCAGCTCTTCTCCTCCATGCCAAGACCTGCCAGACACCTCCCCTCCCAGCCAGCACCCGGGCCTGGACGAGCCCCAGGGACAGTCTGGCTGCTTGGGGCAGCTGCAGGACTGAGCCTGCCAAGAGGTCACGACTTCCCTCCCGCCTCCAGCCTGGGCCAGGACTACTCTGAGATTTGAGGGGAACATGGACCCTTTTGGCCCTGCAGGGACAGGGCACACCCCACACCCAAGGGCTGCAACGGGTGTGGACAATTTTCTAGTTTGTTTCTTAATTTATTTGTAGAAGAGAAGCAAAAAAAATCCTTATTTACACAAACCCTTCCTGTGTGAGTGTTGTCAGTGGGACAAGTTGGAGCCCCATGGTTCCGAGCTCCGCCCCTGGGGACGCCCACACTCTGGGCTTTTACCAGCCACTGAGGGGAGTCTGGACACCACAGAGCTCCACCCTCCTTGACTTTCTGGATTTAACCTCCTCCTGGCCAGTATGCTGCCACAGGGGTGTGGGTGGAGCCGGCAAGAAGGCAGTATTGGAAGCTGACAATTACTCACCCTCCCTTCTCCATTGAGTGGTGTAGGGGTAGCCTGCTGGCATCCCTGAGGCTGGAGGGCAGTGAGTCATCAGGACTGGCACTGCCCAGTTCTTCCCCTGATGTCTACCCTGGGCCCTGGTTGGGTCCATCATTGGTGTGCCTTCTGCTTTGGGCCTAGAACGGAGAGACGCTTGGGGCAGATGATAGACCCAAGAATTTCTATGGCACAGAAAAAGTACTCAGGATGGGTTCAGCCCTACTCCTGAATTCCATTCCTGCATATCAGGTTGGGTTGAATCGCTGGGACTCTAATGGCCCTGGGCACTAGGAATCCAGAATCCCAGCTTTCCTGACCTGCTCAGAATGTGGTGGCCCTACTTTGGCAGACTCTACCTCCTCTGCCCTGAGTGGAGGAGGCTGGGGCAACATTGGCCCACATTGGGGCTGGAGCTTAGGTACTGAGAAGACAGCAGATCTCAGGAAACTTCTGTGATCTTGAGAGAAGGGCCGACTCCAACAAAACAGCCTGGTTCAAGGTGAGGGATGCCAATGGAAACAGTGGACACACTAAGACCTAGACTAAGTGGTAAGAAGTTAGAGAAGGTGAAGGCCACCCTACTGTCACATTTCTAGAAACTGGAGATGCCTTCACCATCCCTTGTGTTCACAGATCAAGCCCTGACTAAACTGACAATCAAGCTTTATTACTTTATTACAAGCATATTAACAGTGAGGGCATAGAAGGGAGGATGCAGGAACAGCTCATGGGCTGGAGATGAACCAAGAGATGTTGTCAATAAGTTGGGTCGGAGGGGCCAGGCATGGTGTAGGCTGTGCCTCCTGTCCAGGGGGAGTCGTGGAGAGGAAATCACTGCTCCTGGGTGCCCCAGGAGATGTAATCCGGCTGTGTGGCAGCATGGTACTCATCGATGAGCTCCTGAACAACCTCCCTGGACCTGTCCATCTCATCAAAGTTGTCCTTGAACATGTCCTCCTTGCGGAACTGCTCCAGGAAGGCATCCCGCTTCCGAAGCTTGTCGAACTGCTGGCAGGAACTTTCAAAGAGCTGAAAGAGACGAAAATCTCCAAAATGGGAGCCGGTGTAGGACAGGAGTTAAGAATGGACTTGGGGAAGAAGATGAAGGTGACTAGTCCAACAGAGTGGCCAAAGAAGACCAGGTGACTAGACTCACCGAAGAGATGCTAGTGTGGTTGGCCATCATGAGCCCGCTGACCCGGTGGGCTGAGGGCAGGTAGGGAGACTTCCTCGACAGGGCCACCTGGATGCTGGCTGGGCCCCAGGGGATGAAGTTGGCTAACTTCCGTTCCCGGATCCTCTGTAGGCTCTTGTGGACCTGGGGTGGGCACAGGGGCAGTGAAGGGGCAGCCTCTCCTCTACCCCTGTGGGTGCTGGGGATAGAACAACGGGGCCTCGCCTACCTGGGTGGGGTCCACCTCTCCCTGGATGATGTTGAGGATGGCGATGTAGCAGTGGTTGGTCTGGCGGTCCCGGCCTGTGGACACCATCACGTTCTTGGGCTGCAGCAGCCGCCTCATCACATCCAGGACCGTGGTCTTCCTCACGCTGGCCACCTGATGGGAGGGTGGGTCACAGGGACCAGGCCAGCACTCAGGGCATGGTCCAGAGGTGCATGGACAGAGAAGTCAACTCATCCCCATCAGACCCGGGGTAGAATGGTGTCTGTGGCAGGAGCCAAAGGCAGAGGGAAGATGGACGGCAAATCAGCAAGGAAGTGGCCAGCTCGGTGCCAGTGCCTGAGCCTCTGGGGACCAGAGGGCAGCTCCTGGGGCAGCAGGGGGCAGAGAAAGGCTGGGCCAGGGCCTGCCGGGCCCAGGACTAGCTCAGCCTGGGACACCGAGGGCTGCTCTTACTGACTGGTCTGTGGTGAGGGGGGTGTAGCCGGTCATGAGGAAGTGGAGCCGTGGGGTGGGAATGAGCGAGGCGATGAGGCCGATGAGGTCGTTGTTCATGTAGCCGGGGTAGCGCAGGGTGGTGGTGCTGGCCGACATGATGGTGGACACCTGGGGACGGGGGTGCCATGTCATGGGCCTCGGCCTGGGCAGGACCTCCCTTCCCCAGATGGTCCTCCAGCAAGGAGGGCTTCCTTCCAGACCAAAGGAGCCCAGGAGTGGGGGCTCACCAGCTGGTTGATCTGGGAGAAGGACGGGTTCTGGATGTGTAGGCGGTCTGTGGCGATCCGGTTCAGGGCCGTGTTGTCCAGCACCACCTGGGGGGACAGAAAAGAGTCATAGCATCTTCTTGCGGTGAAAGGAGGCATAGAAATAAGATATTGGTTTAGTCCCTGCTGAACTGTAAAACCAGGAAGTAGGTTTGTTAATTTAAAAGGAAAGTACAAAACAATAAATAAATAAATAAATAATAAAGGGAAAGCACCGTTTCTGGGGCATCATGAGACACTTTTGGACCATGCAGGACAGTAAGGAAATATGTGAGTAGCCCCATGTGCTGCACACTATGCCTGGCTCTGCAGAGACCACAGAGAGGGAAACACGTGTGGTCTTTCCCCTCATTAGGCCTATAGTCTGGTGGAGGGAGACAGACATTAAATATAAAACAACAGAAAACTACAGTTAACTACCTGAAACACACACAGAGGATTCTGACTGTGACTGAGTAGCCAGGGAAAGTTTTGCCAAGAAAAGTGACCCTTGAACTGAGAGTTCAAGCATTAGCAGGCATTAGGTAGGCAGCGTGGGGGTACATGGTGGTGGTGGTGGTGGGTATATTCACTTTGTTGAGAGTCTTGCTGCCTAAAAGGAACTGTGAACAACTTGGAGGTCAGGACCTTATTTCTTAATTTGGCTGACAGGTATGTATGGCTTTGTTGGTCCTCTGTTCTCTACGTGCGCAGGGGCTTGGGAAGGGCAGGGTGTGTGTGACTCGCTGGCTTGGGGAGACAGACCAAAGCCCCCAATTCCCTCTTCCTTTGCTCACCACACAGTCTGCGTTCTGGGTCAGCCTCTTGAGTGTGAGGAGAGAGTTGTAGGGCTGGACCACCACATCGCTCATCTCGTCCTGGTAGGGAAACACTGAGTACGTCTGCACCAGCTTCTTGGGGTACCTGAGAGTAAGGAAGAGGGAAAAGGGGAGGTTGGCACAGTCCATTGGAAAGACCCCCATCACTGCCCATCTCTGTCTTCTCTAAGGACAACAAGGACCAACCCTTTCCAAGGGCCACCAAGCTCTTATAGAAAAGGAGTGAGGACAGAACTGAGTCTTCAGAGCCAAAAAGGATAAGGTTTAAGCAGCAAACTCTGTAGATACCCTCCTCTCCCTAGGTAAACCCTATGACTCAAAATGGATAGTGGCACACTTCCCAGCTCAAGAGAAAAAAGTGACAAAAAGGAAAGCCATTACCCAGGGAACCAGGGTTAACGCCCACTCCCCCAAAACAGGCTTACCTGTCATTCAGTCGCTCTAGGAGGTAGGAGCCCAGGCCAGAACCTGTCCCCCCAGCAATGGAGTGACACAGCACGAAACCCTGTATAGGAATAACAAACTCACAGTTTCCCCCACTGTACTCTCACGACATGCTTCTGTCACCAGGTGTGTGGTGGTTATACCTCACACATCAAGTAAGCAATCAATTCTGCAGTAGACACCAGCTGGGTGCCCACTAATTCACTTCAATTCTGACCTATCTACAGACTGTGCCTGACTTATGATGGTTCAACTTAATGATTTTTTGACTTTCTGATGGATTTATTGGCTGTAACCCAATGCATTTCAACTTATGATATATTCTGATAAACCCATCATAAGCTGAGCATCATCTGTACCTGTAGATAGCATAAGAACCCACAGGTTGAGGGCTCAGTCCTACAAGACTGAACCCCACTTCCAATGCCAATCACAAGCTCCAGGTTGTTTTACCTGTGTCTCTGAACAACAGGCTATAAATTGGGGTTCTCAGGACCCCCTCCTTGTGTTCAATTAATTTGCTAGAGTGGTTCACAAAACTCAGGGAAACACTGACATTTACTGGTTTATTATAATATAAAGGATATTTTAAAGGATATATTATAAACAAACAGCCAGATCAAGAGAAAGTCCCTGGTCTGGATGGGTCCCAAGCACAGGTGCTTCTGTCCCTTGGAGTTGGGGTATACCACCCTCCCAGCAAGTGGATGTGTTCTTTTCACTTTCCTGGAAGACCCTGGACTCAGTCCTTTGGAATGTTTATGGAGGCTTCATTACACAGGCATAACTGATTAAATCATTGTGCATTGGTGATCAACTCAATCTTTTTTGGTTTTTTTTGAGATAGCATCTTGCTCTGTTGCCCTGGCTAGAATGCAGTGGCAACATCATAGTTCACTGTAGCCTCCAACTCCTGGGTTCAAGTGATCCTCCTGCCTCTAATTTTTAAAATTTTTTTGTAGAGACAAGTTTTCGCTCTTGCTCAGGCTGTTCTCAAACTCTGGCCTCAAGAGATCCTCTCGCCTCAGCCTCCCAAAGTGCTAGGATTACAGGTACCATACCACAGTCTTCGGCCCCTCACCTCTCCTTAGAAGTGTGGGGGACGTGAGAGTGGGGCTATAAACTACAACCCTAAGAGCATCAATTTGGTTTCCCTGGCAACCAGCCCCCACCTAGTAGTTATCTAGGACCTTTCCAAAAATCACCTGATTAACATAAGCTCAGGTTTGGTTGAAAGGGGCTTGGTATAAAAAAAGACTGTTTTTGGAGCTGTTCCAGATACCAAGGATAAAAGGTCAAATATTTTAACAAAAAGATACTCTTATTGCTCTAGTCACTTAGGAAATTACAAGGGTTATAGGAACTGTGGAAGAAAACAAAAAAATATATATTTCACTATCACACCCAGTGTGGGAAGAATTGGAGAAGCAATCTCCAGGGGTTGGGGGAGAGGGTTTCCTTGTCTCATACCCCACTCTCAACACACTAGCGTCTCAAGGCTGCTCCTTATCTATCCAGGCTGAGGCTTCTTGGGAAGGCTCAGAGCCAGAGAAGCAGCTGAATGACTCACATCTAAGGAGCTGATGCCATCCAGATTACCACTTCCCCTTGCAAACAAGGACTGTGGCTTATTTCCCTCAATATCCCACATCTGATGCTCAATTAATGGGGTTTGAATTGAATTGCCCCCATCACATCATAGGCTACCTCCTGACCTTTCCCCAGCACTCTTCGGGCTTCCCCCACTCACTGCCCTCCCCCAGCAGAACCTCACCTCTAGACTGTCACTGCCATCTGCTTCTCTGTCTATGATGTCAAAGATGTCTTCATGGATTTTCTCACCCTGTACAGAAACGTGGAAAGGGAAGATGGGTCCAAAAGTTCCATAGAGCATCTTTTTTCAACATCAAAAACTCTATCTACTCTGGGACATTATTGCCATCCTGAAGCAGAGCCCTGGCCTTAGCCCTCAACCCATAAACGCTACTTTTGCAAACAATTTGCACAAATTTGCATAACCTCTCCCTGGCTTTCCCTCTCTTTACAGTATCCCTTTGTCTCTTAGTTATTGCCAATCTGGTCTGTTCAAATTCCTAGGTTGCTTGAGCCTGCCCTGCCCCAGGGTGAGAACATTAAGGGTTTCTGGGATGGTCGCCTGGACACCTGGGAGAAGCCGCTGGCCCAGTTGTTGCCAGCTCCTCCTCCGTGCTCTGACAGGTAGATGTTCTCTGGGTTGTAGAGCTTGGCATAAGGGGAGTTGAGGATGGAGTGGATCACCCGGGGCTCCAGGTCCAGCAGCACAGCCCGGGGGATGTAGTGCTCATCGTCTGCCTGTCAAGGGAAGTCCAGGAGGGGGCCCAATCAGCTAGGGCAGGCCAAGTCCCAAGTCCTCCCAACTCTGGCTCCTTCTGGCCCTCCCTCCTCAAGACAGCTGCCTGGCCCCTCTGCCCAGCGGGTTTCCCGGTACCAAGCCACTCCCTTCCCTTCAGGCCCCTGGGCCCCTGGCTGCCCTGGCCAAGTCGCTGGGGGCACCTGGTAGAAAAAGACGTCCTTGCGGTCAGTGCCCTCGGTGGCGAACTCCTCCACGATGCCCTCGGGGCTGATACCATGTTCAGCGCACAGTTGTTTCCAGAACTCGAACCCAACTGGGGGAGGGGGGGAGATGCCCGGGTCTGCTAGAGCCCTAAGGCCTGAGGAGCCCAGTTTTAGGCTCAGAGGCTGTCACAACCAGAGAGGGTGGACCTAAGACGCCTGGGTCTGGGAGCTGTCACAGCCCAGGGCTGGAGGCGCAGCTCTTGGTCTGAGTCATCATGCGCAGTAGGGCAGGAGGTTCATGGAAGGGAAAAGGGACTGGTGGATGCCAGGCACTTGGGTGGGACCCGAAGGGACAGAACCAGAGACTGGCGGGGCCCAGCGCTCGCTTGCTCACTCTGGTTGCCGCACTGGCCCAGCTGCAGGGTGATGATCTCCCGGGGCATCGCTCTTCAGACGTGGGCGCGCCAGCCCCAGCCTGCCGGGAGTCACGGGCGAGACGAATGCCTGGCAGCCCGGCGCGCATTACGTGGGGAGCGCGCGCTCCCTCCGTCTCTTGACGCGAACGCTCGGTCTGCGCGTGTGCAGTTCGGGCAGCTCCACGGCCGAAGGGCGGCGGAGCCCAACCTGGGCATCATTTTATCCCTAAGCAGTCGCAGCTGGAATTCAGCACAAGCGCAGAGTGAGGCCACGCCCTTCCCTGCCCACCGCTCCGCGCCTGCGCGGTGAGATTTAATGGGGCCAGCAGGGTCGCAACCTGGGTGTGAGGGAGAGAAGAGGAGGGGCGGCCAGGTCTGCGTGATGGTCCAGGTGTATGCAGTTACCTACTTATATAGGTAGGTGAGCGACTCTGCCGGCTCTGCTAGGTCCAGGGGATGAATTCAAGCTAACTTCTCTTAAATTTCTTTTTCTTGTGTTACAATACATATATATATATAATTTATAATTTTAACTATTTATGCGTATCGCATACAGTTCTGGGGCATTAAGTACATTCACATTGTTTTGTAACCATCACCACTACCCATCTGCAGAACTTTTTCATCTTCCCAAACTGAAACTGTATACCCGTTAAACAGTAACTTCCCATTCTCTCCTCCCGCCAATCCCTGGTGACCAGCATTCTACTTTCTGTCTCTATGAATCTGACTGTTGTTGGTTTCTCATACAAGTGGAACCATAAAGTATTTGTCCTTTTGTGTCTGGCTTCTTTCCCTGGCTTCTTTCTTTTGACAGTTCCAATTTCATCCCCCCCAACACTTGGTACCTCTGTTTTTTTGATAATAGCCATTCTAACGGATATGAAGTGATAGCTCATTGTGATTTCTGTTTTACTGTAAATTATGGAAAAATTTAAACATACATGATTTTGTCTTTACTTTTTTGTGTGTTTTAAAATTTTATATAAATGATTTCAGAATGTAATATCCTTTTGCAACCTGTTTTTTACACCCTACATTACGTTTTTGTGAATGAGCCATGTTGATACATGTAGATTTATATCATTCTTTTTAACTGCTTTATAGTATTTCATTGGATGACTAAAATCAGTTTATTTCTGGACAGGTGCCGTTATATTGTTCCCAACTATTCCTCACTACCTCAGAGTTGTCCTCTTGTGAACATGAAGGACACTGTCCCTGGCATGCGCAGTTTCAGCTTTACTAGGTTTTGCATATTTTCTCCTAGATGTACCAATTTACACTCTTATCAGCAATAGCAGCCTCATTTCTCTACATCCACATCTACACTGGGGTTATCGGATGTCAAATTTTGTCAACGCTGTGACTGCTGAGAGAAATTTTATGGTTGGAATATCCAGTTATGATCACAAGTGAAGTTAATTTACTTTTCTTGTTACTGTCCTTTTTGGGATTCTTCCTGTGGGAATTGCCTGTTCATAGCCTTTGCCCATTTTTCTATTGGGTAGTTTCTCTTAGAGCTCTAAGGTATTGTAGAAATTTAGTATTCGTTGTATGCAAATATCCTCTCAGTCCATAGCTTGTCTTTACACTTTGTCTTTTGTACTGGAGAAGATTTTAATTTTAATGGTAAGTTACCCATCTTTTCCTTTACGTTTTGCACGTTTTATACTCTGTTAGAGAAACCTCCCCATCCCAGCGCCATGTAACCATCCTTCTGTTTTCTTCCAAAAGCTCTATAATAGTTTTGCTTGTTCCCCGTAGGTCTTTAGTTCATCTGGAATTTATTCGGAGGCCTGCTGTGAGATAGGGATCTACTTTATCTGTTCCATATGGATGGCCAATTGTCTCCGAACCAATTTTTGAGGAGTCGGTGCAGCCTCCCCCACCCCCTGGGGCATTCCAAGCGGCGCTGCGACGTGGGCCGCTCCTGGCCGGTCTTCCGCTCGCTCGGATGGTCGGTCTGTCTGTCCCTATCTGGCGGGCTTTCTCTGGGAGCCGCTGCAGAGGCGCTGGCGAAAGCACCACTGCCAAGAGTCATGCTCAGACGAGGTTTTTTGTTTTCTTTTCTCTCACTCGCCTTTTTATAAAAGAAAACTCGGCCGCTCTCCAGTCCCCGCCGCCCAGAATCCTCCGAACTTCTTTAGAAGGCTCTGGCTCCCCCGAAGCCCGCCCCGGTCCCCGCCTTGGCTCAGTTTCCCTCCCCTCTCCCCACTGGGTCGCCCAGCTCGCTTCCTCCAGCTCTGGCCCTGAAGATTTCCAGCGTCTCCCAAGAGTACCCGGTAGCCTCGCCCTTTCTGGGAGGGTCTGGCTACTCCCTTTGAAGTTCAAGGGTGGGTCAGAGCTCCGTCGTTAGCCTAGAGGCTCCCTTCCCCCGACAGAACCGCTCCTGGGGGCTGGCTGCCTTCTGAGGCTTTGCCAAACCCCTGTCCCAGTCCTGTGCCAGGTGAGGAGAAAGGCTTCAGAGATGAGAGTAAACTTGCCTCCTGCCCTGTGAGCCTGGGAGAGCTCAGTTTACTTCCTTTAAAATAATAAGCTGTCAGCAGTTTATGAACACTTGGGAAACAGGAGAGTTAAATTACACCTTTTCTTGTGATTAATAACAGTGCCTTACTCCAACTTATAGTCTCCCTGAAATGGGAAAACTTTCTTCAAATCCCGGTTTGCAGGCAAGCAGATTAGAAGGTGTGAATCTATCTGAGCTGGAGAAGTTGCAATGCAGGTTACCCCTGAGAAGACATCTCTGACAAGCTGGAAGCTCCTCTCTTCTTAGTCTTGAAGAGATGGGTTGGAAACTGAAACACTTATGTCCATTAGCAGAGCTGACCATCAATCTCCCAGTTATCAGTAGGCTATGCTTTCTACCTCTGCTGAGACCTGACCAAATAATATTGGTTAAATGAGATGAGGCATGAACACTTAGCGCAGTGCCTGACTCATAGTAAGTGCTCAACAAATATTAGCAACTGTTAATATCACTAGATGGAATCAAAACTGAAGTATAGTTTGGCTGTTGTGACAAATGAAAGACTTTATTTAGATTAAAAACAAAATGAATAGTTGTGTTAAATAAATTTTAAAAAACCCTAAGTACTTATGATCCTATAGATTGTCAGTTTTAGATCTAACTTCTATTGAGGTTGAGCAGAAGGCCCAGGTTCATGGTCCTTCTAATGGGTTTCAGATACAGGGTCTCAGGATCATTTACCCATGGCTTGATTGTTGAGTGTTGACTTTAATTTGTTTGGCCCCAAGTTCTTTGATCCAGGTTATGGTAAGGTAGTGGGATATAGCTTTCCTTTGTCTGAGGCCTTGGTCTGCCTCTGATAATGAATGTAGCATTTGTAAACTAACATGTTTGTTACATGTCCAGAGCCTTTATTGGACATCCTGGGTTGAATAAAATATATTTTTGGATGCACCTTCATTGCTGGCCTTTCCTGAATGCCTGGCCTGCAGTAGTATATCAGGAGCACAAGTGTCTTGTGGAGGTCGGGACGTAGAGGTGTGAGGTGGGGAAGTGAGGCTGTGTCAGAGATTGGGAGGAGAAAGAGCACTGTGCATATCATGCAAAAAGAGCTGCTTCTAGTCATGAGACTGGAATCCTGTTACCCCAGGGAGTTTAACTTTCAAAATAAAATTCAAAACAAGGCAGGAAAAGAGCAGAAGCTCTTTATGTGAAGGGAGTTGTACTAAATTCATATTTTAGTTGTGAAATAGAACAAAACATGGACAGGTGTGGTGGCTCATATCTATAATGCCAGCACTATGGGAGGCT